AAAGAATGGCCCTCCACCAGCTGATCAACTAAGCCGGCAAGTATGGGAAGACGCATGGCTTCTGGAGGCCATTCGTCAACACGACAATCCCACCGCAGCACCCACTGTCTCGCTACCCGGACCTGTACGTGTGAAACAAGAGCGCCTCGTATGGGCTCGAGCTTTGTCTTCGGCAACCCTGAGGACTCCCATCGAACTTGATTCCCCGTCCCCTCCTCCGAAGAAGGCCCGTGTTGATGAACTCAGTGAACCTTTGCACGTGCAGACCATGAACCCTGACTTCGCTGGCTTCCAGTCTGCAGCTGATGAGGACGAAGATGTCTCGGATCCAATCCCGTCCGTTGGTTCCCGTCCAGACATGTCACTTTCCCAAGAGCTCGAGCAGATCATTGATGAGACTTATCCAGACGAAATGGACATTGCCTCGCCCGGCCCAGAGGAACGTGAGTCCTGAGTCTGAGTATGCGCGATCCAGAAACGGACACCTTCCTTGTGGTAGAGAGTGCAGACGAGGAGGCAGACCGCTTCTTGCACAACTGAGTCTTGACTCACACGCAATGGACAAAAAGAAGCAACGACTTGCTTATGTTGCACTTCCGAGAGACTAGGTGTACATGTGGCTTCGTGCATGTAGCTTCCTTATGGCACTGATGATTGCACACGCAGCAGCCGTGCCAAAGCTCAGAGCCTGTTAACTTTAGCAGGCTAACAACCAAGTAGACATGGGCAAGCACTTCAGCGTGGTGGTTCCGAAGCGTGGAAAGCAACGCGCCGCTAAGAGCACGAAGAAGACGCTTCCCAAGAAGTCCACCGACTACCAGAACATCCCCTACGTGCGTGACCATAGCAGTCAACGACTTCGGAAAGATCGGAGGACATGTGCCCAGACCCTGCAGCCACTACTATGCGCCTCTGACGATGGAATCGTAAAGATCCTAACAAAGGATGGCATGCTTCCGAACTGGGCCGGCAAGCAATGCCCACGGTGTCAGAAGGGCACATTGTCTAAACTTCAGACGAGTCCGACTGGTAGCCTGAAGTACAGATGCAGCGCGAAGGGCTGTCAGGTTTACATCTCGCCTACTCACCTGCATCCTTGGTTCACAGATGGACGGGGCACAGGCGCAATTTCGCTGCAGGTCCAAGCATCGATACTGCTGATGAAGTTGCTAGGCGTTACTACTTCGGCGACGTGTCAGATGCTGAGTGTGAATCATAAGGTGGTGGAAGACTTGGCAAACAGACTTACTTATGCCAGGCAAAGTTATGTGGTTGAGCGCCAGAAGCACATCAAGTTCGGGTATGACAAAGGCAAGAATTTCACTGCCGTGAAGAACTGGGTCGACGTGGAAGGAGATGAAGCAAGCTTCACGAAGACCAACCAGAGAGGCATTGACCCCAGCATCCGTACGGACAAACCCGTGGTGTGGGAGCAGTGGCTAGGACTTGTCCAGCGCGGACATCCACAGTCCTTGATCTTGGAGCGCCTGCGCCCACCCTCCACAGAAGTGCGTGCGCCCGGTCCAGGGGCTGCGCGGAAAACAGAATGGTTGCCACTTGGACACAGGTACTTGAGAGGCCGACATGTCATTCTTCACACAGACGCAGCACGAAGCTATACCGCGAAGATTGACGGCGTTCTCCATGACAACGTGGTTCACGCCAAAAAGCGCAAGGTGGTGAATGGCAAGACCCGCTGGGTGAACCCCACCTATGTGCGCGTGGTGCAACACAAGCTCCCGAAGACTTCCAAGGTGGTCAAGGTGAAAGCAGGCACGCAGATAATCGACAGGGCATGGCGCTTCATCAAAGACCGCCTCACCTTGAACCAGAACACCCGCGCAGGATCTAAACTTCTACGAGCCCAGATTCAAGCAGCCCAGTACCAATACTGGTTCATGAGGGATGATCCATGGACCAGGGCGTGTGATCTGAGCAAATTCTCCATGAAGCGCATGATGAACCAGAAGTAGTTTCACTACTGACGCGGGTCGGGGGTAGCATAGATGGACAGAAGTTGTTTGTGTATCGGCACAGTACCATCTCATACGAGCCTGTTGACACTCGGCAACTTCCTCCGGAGCGACATTCGTCGGAATGAATGTCAGCTATCCTATATCGGGGAGCAGCGCAGCGCACAAAGGCAAGAAAAATGACTTGCTGCAGTTGCCAAAGTCTCATTCACCACATGCAGGCATCCATGGCAAACTTTAGGAGCCGCTGGCCTTGCTCTCACTCACACATCTCTGATGTAATGGTGCCATATCTGCTCGAGACTAGCTCCCATCAACACAGCTCAGATGTAATGGCGCGAGCCTTACTTTCAAATAGCTTGCTGCGTGTCCCATGCAAAAAAAATATCATGGCAGGCTTTCTCTCATCTGCTTATCAGGCGGGCTCGAAACGTCCGACAGCATAGGGAGATATCGACCGTTTCTCTCATGAAAACACGGAACACGCTCATGCCTGCCGTATGTTGACATCATGAACACACTCACATTGTGTGTTATGTTGAGGCTACACTTCGTAAAAGCCTGTCTAAGTGATTATCTTGGCTACCGTATGATGTGGTACTGGAGAAATTAAATCTGGAAACAAACCAGTTTCTGATTCTTGGTATGTTTATGTGGTTTGGATCAGCCAAGGTGTCCCGACTGCAAGCAGATGCCACGTCCTGGAAGGGATTTGGGTTGAGGGTTTGGGTTGTATTTTTCACAAGGTGCGACAACTAACCAGAAGCGTAATACGGGGCGTTTGCCGGCTGAGGGCTTCGAATTTGAGCTTTAGCCTTCGGAGGTCGGAGGGCTTCTTGAAGCCATGTCTTTACATAGGGTTTTTTTCATACGTCGTTTGGAAGCCTTGATTCTATTGGTTTTAACAATGAAACATGAAAAAAGGTAGGTTTTGAGGGGGGGGCGTAGCATATATATATATGTACATCATGCATGTATGTTATACATATACAAACATGTACGAGTACCCGCTGCCTCTGTGCCTTCCCAAACCCCTCAACAAGTGCTGACTGTCGGGGATCCTGCACTTTGGAATTCGAATCACAGGATCGAGCCTATTTGCGATGCTCGTGACAATCGTTGCTTTCGGGGGCCGGGATCGTCATCGCGACGTAAAAATGCGACCTGTTAGTGTCACATTCACTGTGACTTTCGCAAGTTTGCATGCGGGGCAAGTCGCATCTCAACAGCAGTGGCTGGCACGAAGTCGTGCTCTGCATGACTCGGACTCGGTTTGTGGGAGCCCAGTTGCGGCAGAAGATTCTCACAGGAGCACAACCCCACCAC